GTCTGAGTAAATTCAGTAATTGCTTGGAAAGGAAACAGAATCCTAAAAGCTGTACTCAGCCTCATCCAAGATGAAATATCAGTTTGTAAATAGCAGTTAAGTACATCTTGTCATATCAGCTACTTGTACACTTTATAGCCATGCTTGAATTTACTGCTTAAAAGTCATACATGGTGCAAATTTTAATGGATTTTTTGTGAAGTTTTGTAAAATCCAATGCCAGTGAATTACTAGCATTGTGCATATGTTTTACCTTTCAGGGTCAGGGTTCGTTGCCATGGCAGCATAAGCTTCATCATTGTGCCCCAATTCCAAGTGGTACTTGAACACTTTGGACCACAATGTCGGCTGTGAGAGGTGTAAATGTGTTAAAGACAACTTCAATTTCAAGCAATTTCTGGATTGCCAACAGTGTGAATACATTACAACATACCTGCCCACACTTTAAGTCACACACCAGAATGCTTATAGCGAAGCAAGCAGAAACGTGTGACAGAAGCTATCTGCATGTGGTGCAGATACACAGTGCTCTCTTTTTTTTTCTCCTGCAAAAAGTGCCCTCTATTATTTGGAGTATAAGTTTTTCTATTATTTTCCTTTTTATGAAAAATGGAATGCTCCAATTTTTGAAGTCTGAAAATTTAAAACACAGGACATTTCCAATGAAATTGGAACCATTAGTGGGCATGATTATGACCATATGAGCATGGAGGTGCAAAATGGACAGTTCAACTTGGTCCTTTAAAAACAGGGATTGTGCAGTTTAAGCCTGCTTCATCTCTAAATAAAGTTTAGGGTGAAGTGAATAAGTATGCCCACTACAGACTTGGCTTCACATATGCAGTGCTTCACACTTGACTTGGCAGACACCCATTACTTACCACATTAGGATCATCATCATCAGCTACACTCAGTGCTGTGTTAGCCAAAGATATGACCAGGTCAGGAAGGCCAAACTGCTCCAGCAATCTGATCACCTGCAGAACCATGGTTCAAGTTGTTGCCACAATTAAAAACAGCATGAAAACAATGCAAAATATTCAAACAATTTGTGTTGATTCAGGGAACTTCCGGGAATGAAAATTAATTGAATATATATGACAGCACACCATACGCATGCCAAGCCTGTACACACACCTGGTGTGTTGCCTCAGGGAATATTGTTACGGTGTTATTTCATATATGGCTACGTATTTATAATGGTTATCCAAGCATAGCACATGGGGGGTCCAATCTCATTCAGGTCTCCTTCTCTACATGATTCTTACTGTCCCCTCCCCTTTAAAGTTGTTTGGTTAATAAAGAGTCAAGACCTGCTAGAAAGGTTTAGATCTCATGTTGTTCACCCAAAGACTGAAGTGTTTTTACTTAGTTTGTTTTAGACGTAGTGTTGATTTCAATGCAGGAGACAAAACCTGAGACATAGACAAAGACAGAGATTCTGAGAAAAACCGAGAAGGCTGAAGCTTACCTTCAGGTAGTAGAGGATGTCTAACTTCTTGCCTGTCAATTCCTCTGTCAACAGCAGTTTGTTCAAGAGGAAGTCTTCATTAGCAATACGGTGAGAGGCTCTTAGGAAGCAAGCCAGGGCTTTGTGAGGTTCACCAGAGTTCAGGAGGCAATGTCCCAGAAGAAAGTGACGAGACGAGATGTTCCAATCACACCATGGATTCAGCAGACGGATGTACTCCTAGACCAACATTTTGGAACAACCACTTTAAGCACATTGCTTTTCATAAAAAAGTGACAAGTTTTTTTCACTGAAATATACAGTAGACTCATTTCCAAAGATCGAGACTAATTTTCAAATGTTCAAGAGGGATAAATCTTAATTTCACTAGGTAGTCATTACTTGCTCTCAACTGTTTTTCCTTTGAAGTTTTCTTCTCTAGCAATTCTCTGGCTATGCTTTAAGAAAAATCACAAACATCCCTGAAAACACAAAAGTGAAATATAGAGGGCTATAGCATTCAACATGTACCTTCTTTTTATGACAATTCCATCACCAAAAAGAGGAGGTCTCATGGACTGACATCTGTAAAGTGTCAGTTTAGTCCATTAAAGAGTTTTGTTACTGTGTTTTATACACTTTCACACATATACAGGCAGGCAACTTTGACAAAACAAAAAAAACCAGGAAACTCCAATATTTCCTACATTTTGCACAGTGTTTTTCAATTCCTAATGGGACCAGTGTGAAGTGAAAAATGAGGAAATCAGCTGATCTGAGGAAACGTTGCAAGCCTGCATATAAGGCCCCAGCAATGAGCACAGGTGTTGGTAAAAGTACATTTGATTGGCCATGTCATGAGAAAATTATACCCAATTTTCATAAAACCAGTGTCAAAATTACTGGAAAATACAAGTGCAAAAACTTTGGTGTTGCAATGAAATCTGAGAGAATGTTAAGATGGAATCCATCATGGCTCAGTTAAAACTGTAAGAAAAGAATGTCTCAGGCAAAGATTTTATGAGAATCTATAACAAGAAGACATAGCACTCACAAAACCAATGAACTAAAATCTAAAAAACTAACCTGCAACTGAGTGTACTGACATTTGCCCATCAAGAATTCTGGAAAGAGAAAACTGCCACTGATTGGCCAGCTGGAGAAGGGGTGGAGTCAAGGAAAAAATGGGTAGACATTTCAGCCACACTCACTGTGTACAGAAGTTTTGATTGAACACTTCATCAATGGGACAATGAACATACCAACTTAGTAGAATTGCATCCAGCGTAAGTGCACAGGCCAATGACATGAAACTGCCTTGCAAACACACTGGCTAAATACTGAAAACAATTGGCTAAAAAACAGTAGTGCCATACAATCCTGCATAGTCATCATGACTGGTTCAAGTAGCTGATTTCCCTTCATACAATATGTGCATTTAACCAACAATATTATTCTGCCCTGCAGCTCATGAAGGACTATTTAAGTAGTGCTGCAGCCAAACCGAACCAAAAATCATCGAATATGGCACTTTTGAACTGAACCGAACCAAACTGGTCGGTTCAGTTCAGCTCTATTATGGCATGGCACTGATAGCGCACAGAATGTACAGAAGAAAACTTGATGAAAAAAAGCAAGCAGAAGGAAAAATGAATAACAAGTTATGTCACAAAACGAATTTTGATTGGATGCTGATCATAGTTGGACTCGTGCTCGAAGGCAACTCCGAATGGCTAGGGAATGCTGGTTTTGCTAGGCGGCAGTGGCCGATGCAGCACTCCAGCTCCATTTACAGTGAACTCTTCAATGTCTCAATGTACATTGTACATGTGAGTACACGTCCGAACCTGAACCAAAGTTTGGCAAAACAATTTCCGAACCGTGTTGAAACCGAACCTGAAGTGAACCTTGGCACCTCCTTGCAGCATTAAACAATTATTACTAGACTCAGGCAGTTCCCACATCTCAGTTTCATCTTCAACTCCATCCCAAGAGTTCATAGCAATGCACCTTCATTGTCTGCTACAGAAGGCACCCAAGGACTGGAGAGTTTGATTCCCTCTGTAAATATTTAAAACTAACTGTGTTTCAGTGAAGTCTGAGACACAGATGAAACCAAGATTTAAAAAGTCCAAAACAACAGGTTCCAGAGGTGAGACTGTAAGATGGGAACAACCCATGCAACATCCTGCAGAGACATTGTAATCATTACAATAACACATTGTGACTTTCAAAGACTTTGAAAAGCTAACAAAAAATGACTTTGTGAATCCTATGTTTGGGTTCTGTACAAAATGCAAGAATGTACCAAGTCCTGAATAACTGAAATTCTAAAAGTCCACAGGATGAGAGTGTATATGCATGCACCCCAATGACGCTGAACATAAACACATGCGCAAGTCTTTAAATGTTACAAATGTAACCATTGTTTTAACATACATTATGTTTTCACAAAGTGAAAAAATGTGTACAATGCAATAAGAAAAACATGAGGACCTTCAGGTTTTGCTATTTTCAAGAAGTGAAAAAAGTTTCATTGATGGGTTACTGCTTAATTAAAACAATATTTCTGCAACTTACTGCAGATTAGCATTTTAAAACTCTCATATTTTATGACAGCACAACATTCCTGAATGCATAACACCCATGCAATAAAAAATAAGTCACGAAATAGGATTTTCAAAAGTGTTTATCTTGGAATGTCTGTTTTGCATCATATGGGGGGTTTTTGTCACTTTGTGAAAACACTGACGATAATTTGGGTCAAACATCCTGAAATCCAGAATAATTCCAAGAAATAACACCTGCAGTTCAGGTCTGGAACATGTTTCCTTCTTCATATTAAGTCAGGAAATAGAGGAAGGCATTTAACAAGGATACACCATCTGTGCCAATGCTGTCAAACAAGGTCGCAGTACTTCCATCCACACCTCACACTCATTCTTCTTCATATACCCATCTTGGTTGACCTTTGACCTCATCTGTGAACCACCAATCCCTTCCAGGAACAGCTCTGCTAATGTAGGGGTCAGGGCCTTGTCCAGTGACTGGGCTTGAGAGAGGGACAGGGCTAGTCCAGCCGTGCTATCTGAAATTTCTAGCGCAGCAAATTGTCTGAGGTTGGCCTCCCTGTGATATTCATGAAATTGGAGATAGTAAAGCATTTAAGGCAAAAGCAATGATTAGAAGATCCGTACATGCACTAACAATGGCAGCCTTACAAAGAAATCAACAATAGGGCAATGACACAATAGCTGTAAAAAAAACTTACAGAGAATTTGCAGGCACAGTGCTGGCTACGCAGTTACCGACCCAAAACAGCGAGTAGTAAGCTAGGAGACAGGATGCAGTCTCACAGATGATGTCAGACTCTAGATCATCTAATGCTTCCGATGAAAGAGAAGCCTAAAATAATTAGAATGAGATATCTTGAATTAATCAAAAGCTTCTGATGGGGAATGTAAGCCTCAACCCCCCCAAAAGAAAACAATCCTAAAAATATTCTATTAACCCTAACCCCCTAGGGTGTATGTAAAATTGTATTAAAATTGGAGGATTTGGGAGTGTTAGGGTTAATGACTTGAAATTATGGATTCTAGCAGTGGGATTTTTCTTACCAAATAACAACATTTTTGGAAAAAACGCTCAGTCATAGTTAACCTGAAGTCAAGCACCAGACTGACTCATGACAGTCATTTGTACTGTACATATTTATGATACTTCTCACAAGTTATTCATCTTTTTCAACACTCAAAGGCCCTGACATGAAATGCTATTTGCTCTGATGACAGGCCATGTACATTGGCCAAGTTCTAGATTAACACACTGTCCAACTCCACGGAATTGTGTGTGAGAATGAGAAGTTTAACAGTTCACCCCACTTGCTGTGACTACACACTGCCAATACACATCCTCTGTGAAACTGTCCCTGAAAATCCTTGCATTAGTGATACTTGAATCATCAATTCCTGGGTTTCCTCTGGCAAAAGCCACAATGTGTGTATGTCTGAGTAACCCCACACACCTATTCTCTTATATTCACAGAACACGTATCAACTTTATTTTGCCAACTTCAAACCATTACAACCTCTCACTGAATTTCTAAGGGCAATCTCTTGAGTACCCTTCCATACAAAATCTCTTGTACAGAACACAAAATGAGTTTTTTCTGCTCACTTGATCACCAAGTTTCACCATGGCACATTCCAAGATGAGTAGGTCTCTAAGCAGCTGGTATCTTGTGAATGACATCTGGACGAAGCTAGCAGCTAGGACAGCTACACCCTGAGAGCTAGCAAAGAGTTGACGGCTGGACAAATGTTCTACAGAATCACCAACTGCTGTTATACCAAGATAATTAACATAGAAGCACTAAGTAGGTGTTAACAGTAGGAGGCACATTCTTCTTAGGAATCAGGACAGTGCATGGCAAAAACATGCAGGGAGTGGAGGGTTTACCCTTCAAGGACTTTTTTTTAACTTCACAGACAAAGGGTCAAGAGCCTCCTCCCCTGCCTACCTCCAGATTTCAACTGTCAGACAAATGACAATTTTAATTTAGCATGCAGAAAAATATATGCATTTTAAGTTTATCTGTGAAGTTCCAAACCAATCGGATATTGAGCTGTACTGTTCAGGTCGTTTCTACTTTAATATTCTCACCTTTGAAAGTATCGACTCTAGCACTTTCATTTGAATTTTTCAGGTGTGTTTACTCAATCTGTCCTTGAGAAAGACTGACAGCTTGCAAGTCAAAATGACAGCAAGACATAAGTGGGAACACTTTTGAAGGCTTGGTAAGATTAAGTCCCTCTTACATAGACAATGTACCAGAGCATTAAAGGCCAAGGGTTGCAGGGTTACAAGTCTTACCTCCCTCCTCCATCATGAGAGACATGGGGTTACCCTCTGCTAGATCCATGGCATTAAGGAGTGTCAACACAGCCCGTACAGGGTCTTGAAGGGACTGAAGTTGGCTGGTCAATTGCTGGACAAAGCTGATGGATGGTACCTGGGTACTGTCCATACTCTCACTGTGAAGCAGTAACACATGCATTTGCATTGTTAGTGTTATTTCTTTCCCATTTTGTGTTGCCTTTTCTCCTATAACTCTGGCTTCATTTAGATGTACTGTTAATGTATACTTTATCTGCAATGCACCTTTAAGGCTTAGCATGATTTGTACCTAACGTGTACATATGTATGTGCAAACACATGTACATGAATACATCCGGCCCTCTCAGTCCCCACTACTTTACAAATGGTGCCATATCACATAAATATGGAAGTACAAAGCAAATATACGTATCATGACATTCTTACAATGTGGCGGGATTTGAAGGATTGAGGCTGTGAAAAAGCACGCCGGTGGCGGTATTGCCAAGGGACATTGACCATTTAGATCCGGTATGGAAAGGGCCCAACCCTACCCAGTCCCAGTACTAAGCCAGGCCGGTATTCAGCCTGCCGTAGTCCAGTACACAGGCCTTTCTGACCCATGCCCTTTGAAGTCAGTGAGGCGCATCGGTTTATTGCCCCTCATAGAACAGCAAGAGCTGAACAAAAGAGGACAAATTTCCGGATTGCAGCCTACTTGCAAGAGCTGGCCAAAGTGTTAATTCCTGCGGCTGGCTGGAGGTGGATTGTATTGTGTCGACTATTAACTGATGGGGAGTTTGAAGGTTTAAAATATTCCCTATCTCTATTCTTTTGAAGTAGTGGGTGTTACGAAAACAGGAAAACAAAGAACGTTTAACTTCCCATGGCATGCAGTGCCAGCATTTGCATCGAGGTATGATTTTTTCAAGAGTAATGATGCATGCAATTAGGGCACTCCATGAATGGATCGGGCTTGGTCCAGAATTTTTTTAGCTGAACACTATTTTGGGATGAGTACATTTATGTTCTGACTGCCAGGTGCACCATCATACGTAAGCGTAGAAGATCAACAGTTTTTCGGACATGCCTTCGCTCAAAAGACATACCTTTTACAGAAAATATGCACTAATTTTTTTTCAACTTCCATTAAACCACACGCGGACAGAATGACTCATTTATAAATGTATTAGATACTATGAGAGGAAAAAGTTTATACATTCTACACGTTGGATAACTCAAACCTCAGTGGATAGGAAAGTCAATTTATCTGGATTTCAAGCCAATGAAAGTTGCCGAGTCTTGCTCACACGTACATGATTGAAACACTACTAGCCCCCAAAGTAGCTATTGGAGACGTTATAAGTGGTTGTTTCCTTATATTTCCTGTTTTTATTATGTACGTAAAATTTTCTATTCCACTGAGAAGTATATCCGAAACCACCAAAACTGTGTACTTTTTGTGACATTTCTCTCGCATGCTGCGGCACGATGCGTACAGTGCTTGCTCAATTGGCCAGTGCCGGGCACGGTGGTTTTCTGATCACGATCATTTCTATTGGCAGAACATTTTGCATTTCAAAATGTTTGAGTATATGAAAAAATGAAAAAAAAAATTGGTGTGTTTTTTTGTCTTTTATTCCATCACCTTTCCTTTTTTTACCTTTTTAAAATGGCGCATTCACAACAGCACACCGGAAATGCTTCAGCTGCAGTTGGGCAAGCAACAGAAACCAGGCTTTAGCCGTGCTATGCACAAAGCTTCCTTCAGATTGGTCATATGGCCACCACAAAGAATCAACGATTGGACTGCAAACATGGGGATACATTTGGGCTGCAATAGCAATCAGGCTTGCATGAAAGGTAGGATCTTTAGGGCAGTGGTTGAGACAAGTCAATTACAGTGGTACCAGCAAATCATGCTCGCTTCCAGCAGGCAAAAATGCAATATCCAGACTTTCAAGACTGGTACACCGATCACAAATGTAAAACCGTTGAGTTAATCAACGAGCGATGCAGATTCAGTAGGAGTTTAAGGAAAATGGACCACTTCAAGAAGTAAACCTCAGGAAAGAACTTTTACACAGCTTAGTCTTTTCAGCTTAGTGTGGAGTCCATGTCATATGTTTGAGGGCATGTAACTGTGTTTTCAGTGAAAAATATGTTTGGTTGAAAGTAGAAGACGGAATTGGAAATGAAGCTCAAATCTTTTTGCTACCGGACTAGCTTACCGGGGGGTCCTTCCCTTACCGGATCTAAATGGTCACCATACCTAAGGCAAATATCTCAAAATGGCAAAGTTCCAACAGAGGGTTGGGTTCAAAAAGGTGTTACTTCAAAATTTTCTTCAAAATCTGTGACTTCCCTAAGTGGTCTACCTGCCCGTTACTAAAAACAAATCTGCTAACAAATTTGTGACAGCTTATTTACCCCAGAAGGTCTCCTGCAATCTGCTGGGCTATCAGGTCAGGTTTCTCCAGTTGGTACACATCATGCTCAAAGGACATCTTGATTTCTGGGCTCAATGTCTGTGATATCATCTTCACACAATTTCTGAGTGTTATCAGATCTCGACACAGAGTCTTTTCTGTTGGCCAGAGGGAAAGTTTCTCTAAGAATACTTTCAAAAAAGTTGAAGTTGTTTGCAGCACATTAAATCAGTATTAAGTAGTGGATGATTTGTCAGGAACCTAATGCTTGCAGGCTACATGTAAAAGTTGAGGTTTAACTGTCTGTAGTTGATTTATTGCTAATATACAGTGCCGACTCCCTGAAATGCATTATGAAATACACAGCTAGTGATAACCTGTGATGCAACCAACTGGTTAGACTTGTCTAAACACATTCAATGGGCACAAGTTTGATCAGAGATGGTGTATCTATGTACACCTACATTTCGCAATTCAACATACTCTACCCCTTGTTTAAGTCCCAGAATTGAACAGGTGAATACTGCCATTAGACCAGCAAATAATAATCCCTGAGTTCTGAGCTTTTATACTGTACAGCATCAGTGCGGGGGTTCTCAGTGCCGGGGTTCCCAGTACCGGAGACCTTGGGTTTGTACACTTAGCCAAGGGTGCCTGAAATCGGACAAAGGAGCTGGGTCTTGTAACAAAAGACTATACTCGGAACAAAAGACCAAGCTGCTGGGAATTGCCATCATTTTGCAGCTGGCATTTGTGAAGGTAATCTGTCATTGTTTTGAAACAGTATACCACTTTTTGTGCATTCAGCACCCACAGATTATCAGCCGGGACAAAAGTGCTCCAGCTCTCCAGAGATGATTGATACAGTACCACTAGTACTACATTCTAATCTGGCTGCATTTGAAGAGACACCACTGCCATTCAGCAATGTACTACGCCAATTTGGGGAACAAAGGAAATTATGCAACACCGCACAATCTGGACCCCCTTTACTGGGTGGCAGACCTGGCTGCAATACTTGGGTGTCAACGGAGGTTGCCTGTCAGGTTTGAGAACCCACCAGAGAGCCATTTGTGTAGGTGCAAACATCCAGTAAATGAAGTTATGAATTAGAAATTGTAAGAATTTTCATTATCATCATCATCATTTTGCACATGACCATCAAGAGGGTCGTAGTGATCTCCAGACACCCCTGTTGAGAGCAAGGGACCAGCACTCATTTTGAGACAGCTGCACAGTGTCGGTAACCTGCATATGCCAAGTAAGAATTTTGAAAATGGAAAATTGCCCGGAAACTTGTCCCACATATGCAAATTCATCCGGCAGGAAGTGCTTTAATGTGTACACAAGTTTATCAACTCCATACAAATTGTGTAAGTGGTGAAAAGATAGTGTTCCATTTACCAGTGAACAAAAGTGGCAGAGTACAATGCATACCCTGATAGGGCCAAGTCTGGTGTTTGTCCACTGCACTGCATGGCACCACCAAATCTGATTGCACTGCATTGTGTTGCATAGTGCCAAGAGAGAACCTGACCGGGGCAAGGCTTAAGAGGTAACATTTTTATGTAATTTCTGCAGTTATCTCTATCATACTACCATCCCAATGACAAAACTTATGCTTAAAAACACAATTTTAAGTCTTTCAAGCCATAATTTTAACCTAAGAGAAGTTTGTACCTGTTATGACAAATGGAACAGCTTCAAAATCTTGTGTACTGACACCTCTAGGGGGCGCTAGATACAGATGTTCTACAGCATCACATGGCCTCAGCAAAGACAGAAGATTCTGAAAGGAACACAATAGTGAAATAAAAATTGACAATTAACTGCAACGCATCATCAGGACACTGTTTATTCTATAAACTTATCTGATGCCTGAAATTCTTAATCCAGGAAGAAATCAGTTGTAAAGACAATTACATATCAATTTCAACTAATTTTAATCTTTAAATATCACCTTTTACTGCCAAATACACCTTGGCTGATCAACTTTATGAGTTTTCAGAATAATTTTCACAGACATCTGTTTCAAGTTTACACAACCTTCAGTGAAAAAGGTGAATGAATTTAAAGGGTTCTTTTAGAATCTGCTCCAATCCAACAACATACACTAAGTGCCTCAAAACAATGACGACAACAAAACTTTTAACCAGTTGCAGTGGCTTGGCGCGAATCTATCAAGCTAGTTGAGACAGCTAGAGGTTGAGGTCAATGACCCTGAAACATTTGCTGACCTTTTTCAGGAGGCATACCATCCCTGTATTGGGGTCCAACATGATACCATGTGGCTTGCTGGCAACCTGCAACAAAACATATATGGGCCGAGATCAGGCCAGGTAGGCATTTGAAAAGTCATTTTTTTCTGACTGAATGTCGCTTCTTTCTGTCGCCTCATCCATGAACCCATTGCCCAGTGTTTTGGTTTCTTTGCATTTATCTGCAATTGGCAAAGACCTGAATCTACTTCTAGCATGCAGTTCCAAACTGAATGCATTCAACTTTGTAAAACTGCAGACCCTGAAGGATTGCAAGTAGAAGTTCAGATGAGATTTCAATGAAGCAAAGGGAAACAAAGTCAAGTTTTATAGTAGCAGAAGTAAAAAAAAACACCAAAATACATGTGGGTTTTGTGCAATTAAAACAGATGGCACAAAAAAATATGCTATCTATTTGATGTTAATGCCTATTTAGAACCAATGAATTTCCGTCATCACGGAAAATGGACAGAATTTGCAGAATCAACACTTTGAAACAGAATCCAATGCATGAAACAAAACTTGCAATTGCCACTAAGAATGGCTTAAAAAGTAAAGAAAACTTTTCACAAAATACTATAACTAAATGCCTACCATACCCTTGTAAAATGATTGTTTTCAATGAACGAGTTACATTGGAAACATGGTAAATTGCATCACTCCACCCCATGAAGGAATGTGCTAGCAAGTCACTGGTTCTACTGGTTGAAGAGGCAAGAGTACCACCTGTCAACAAGCAGTGTACCACCACAATAATGGCTTCTAATTCTGCTAGCCAAATAAAACTACAGGAGATTTCAATGGCCCAAGTGATCAAATATACATCTGCCACTGTTGCAGGTAAAAGACCTTAATGCCAAGGCCTCAACTTAAGACATCTTTGGCTTTCAACCCCTGACCTCATGGTACTGCACACAGCAGGTGTAGAAGCGGGACCAGCTCTGTTCAACCACCTCTCGGTACTCTTCCTGTGACATCTCACTGCCGCCCACCTTCTGCTGTAACTCCACCTCCATGACAGTGGTCACCTCTTCATGTAGAAGCTCTGGTGTCAGGAGGGTGGGGTCAGTTAGAGGGGTATAGGCACCACCACTGGATCGACTGTAAATCTGGGCAGTGACATCAGACAGCAAAAGTCACTTTCTTTTAAAAATGGTCTCAATTCAAGGGAACAGTTTTATGATCAAAGATGTGGCCTAGGTCAATGGTTTGTGATGAATTAACAGCAAACTGACTGCTTACATTTAGAGCTCGTGACACTGACTGCAGAGAGAATTTGCCAGGGTGGAAAATGTTATCAAGGTAAGCCTCCTGGTGACACAAAGACAAAAACAGAATCCAATACAATTCTTGCAAGAAATACAAGAAAAATAAAAACATTGGCTGGATACCTACAGTGAAATTTAACAATGGAGACACTTGAGATACATTATTCGTGCATCGTAATGCTTGGTTAAAGCTAAAGTTCATTCCACAAATTGTACACATGGGTTTCAGCATTACATGTACTTTTTGTGGTGTTTGAAAATGGTCAAAACGTTGTTATCTTTTCAATGCATTTTGCATTAACAGACTAAGCTCCAACACTGCTTTCGAGGATCTTATCAATCGCAACACTGTTCACAGATTTTAATGCCTATGGAACTTCAACATCCCCAACCTACCCTTGGTTCCAGGAATGGAGGAACAATAATATCCGGAGTGTGAAATGGTTCCATGAAGACAGAGTTCCATGAACGCTCACCAACTGATATTCTGATTGAACAAACATCATAAGGACCATCTGTAAATTCAAACACTCTTAAAACAAACTTACACAAACTGAAATGGCAAAAATTAAACCTAAGTTAGAATGGCAGTTGCCATTTTCATTTGGAGGTGATAAATTGGACAGTGGACATGACTTTATACTGGACTGTTCCATTGTATTTCAATGATATTAAACATATATACATGAAAGCTAGGCTCCATCAGCTGTTAAGACAACTTACCCCTCATATGTTGTGAACTTAACCACTGTCTCTCCAGATGGACTATTCCACACTGCCCAGAGGGTGCTCAGGGTCAGGCCAAAATCTACCAGGGTGTTCTGTTGGTCATCGTTGAGGAGTGCCACCTGAATGAGTTTATACTGTCCATCCCGAAGAACTGGCTGTAGTATCAGAAACTATGCATTCGCAAACAAGACAGTGCCTTGTGTGAAACCAAGCAATGGGTGTGCCCTGAAAATCCTTTACAGGACCGTCCCCTAAAGGGTAAGCCCAAAACAAGACAAAATATGACCAAACTGTGCTCATAATGGCTAAGAATCTGTAGGTTGAAGGCTATAACCGGCCATATTGTGTCCACCAAAGATGGTTGAAGGTACCACAATGTTTCACATTATACTGTCCCAAGTGCCGTACATGTAAATCCTGCATTATATTGCTTTACTGTACCTGGCTTTGTGTAGTAAAGCTCAAATAGAATCCAAGGACCAGTGTTCTTTGGTCACTACCAAGGGCAGTCCGGATTTCATGCCTGGTGACTGATTGGTCAGTAAGACCAGAAGAGGTTGGAATGTAGTCCACAAGATCAACGGTCAATACACATGATTGACTCTGAAAAGAATACAGCATGAGATAAAAATGAGGACTCTCAGCTGAGAACACTGCAGTCAAAAACAAAAATGAAAAGTGTTGTAATTTTGTACAAAGTAAAGTTAACGGGCCTTTGACAATGAGGCCATGTCCGAAACGGGCTTCCAGAGCTACGGCTAGGTCTATTATTTGCGCGTCTCCATGCATTTCCAATGGAGCGAAGACCTAGACCTAGCTCTAGACAAGAGATTCAGATGCAGCCTACATGTAAGCCTTTTGCCAGTTAACTTTGACCCAAGTCTGGTAAACTGAGTTCTTAAAATTCACACAAACATAACTTAAATTCTCCATACTAATAGTCTGTGGGCTAGTGGTGGCCCATATTCATTTTGGGGTACATTCTTTGAAACTCTCAGGATCACATACGTATACCTCAAGGAGTTCAAAACTACTCGCCATTTTTCTCCTGATCCTTCTATGGGCGGGGCTCGGACTTTAAATGTGGGGGACTTCATATGTAAAATAATTAGCAGGATAATTAAACTGTCATTTTTCATATTTTGAGGGGACACTCTGGGCTATATAAAAACAGTTTAAAAGTCCAAGATTTTGCCTTTTGGGGGGTGGGGCCACATTGATATAAATGGGGGCAGATGCCATTCGTGGAAAATCAGGGTGAAATGGGCAATCTTGGTGTCTTTACTTCTTTTATTGCCATCCAGTACAGTGAACTGCATGTACAAAACATATTTGGATTACATATCTGTTTTGTTTGTTCCCCCTTTTGGGGTGTGTCACACTTTTTCATGAGAAAGGGGAGCACTGTATTAAGCTTAGGGCAGCCCATATGGGCATGACCTATGGTGAAAGGCTTCAGATAGCAACAAAACAAAATGACTTAAATGTCTTTTTTCCACAGGTCAAGATCAAATAAGCTTAAACCAGATTCGACATCTTTATTCATTAGCCTAATTCTTTGGCATAACGTAGGCTATACATGTACCGATATACACTGCATACTAGTTGGTCATTCCTTAAGCTTACCGCTTCAGAGATGAGAAAAAACAGGCAGATCCTTCCAAAACAGATTACGTTAATTACACTATGTGCGAGTTTATGTATTTGGATTTGTACAGTATGCCATTTGTATCTGAGGAGGCAGACTCAGATGTTGTCACATGTGACACTTGTCTTGAAGTCTTACATTCCTGTATGGTAGTCTGTGAGATTATTACACACTTCTCGCTCTTCAGTTTCCATGGTAACTGAGACTTCTGTGTACAAGCATGTAATCAAACTTCAAAACTGTGTCAAAGAGCACAGCCACGGGCCTATCCAATGATATCTACAGCCATGGTTTTCATCAACATATACAACACAAAGCAAGGAAACAGTCGGCTAAAATGTACTTCCAATCACTGAATCAGTGTCACGACTGTCGATGTACATATACATACGCATCATGCATGTGTGTACACCTGTACATGTACATGCACAAGAATGCAAAGTATTCAGACTACGGGTCTACAGGATCTTTGCATAGGCCTACTAATTTTTCACAGAACCAGTGACAACTGTTGATATAATTTCACATTTTGAACACGCTATCTAATCAACAGGATGGATAAAAACACAGTCGGAATGGGTTTTACTTTTTTTCGTGAATGATCAAAATGCAGAGAGCTGGTCTGGTATCATGTATACTGCTGTGTTGTACAAACACAAAACGAAACGACAACATTGAGACTCACACTATTGAGCCAAGTTTACGCTATCGGATCAAAATATTTCGAATCAAACAAGCTAAAAAACACCCACTTACCCCCTTTAGTAACACTTGACTCATGTCATGTTCGATGACTGGATTTGTATTCACAGAGGATTTTTACAAAGACGGGAAAATAAAGATTGTTTCCTTGTGACAAGTGGCAGCGAATTTCTTCACAATAAACACAGCGATCTGCGTAGGCAGTGTTCACCATGCACCGTACAGTCATGTGTTTACATCACGTATCGCATGCCAGCAGTACGCTTGCACTGATCAACTGACATACACTGGTTGTGCCCGCATCCCACTGATGCCGTAAGTGGACCATTTGCACTACAGTCCCAATTGCGATTTTTTAAATACAGTCTGAATGGGAAGAATTCCCAATTAGTAGGTAGACTTCAATTGGGTTATTGACAGTGATTTATTGCGTCATCTGCATTGCGGCTTGATAAAAATCATCTTAAAAAACACTTTTCCAGGAGGAGAATAAAATGCCATCAAATTGATTTGAATTCTTTTCGGTTTCAGGGAAAAAAATGGAAAGAAAAAAGAAGAAAAAAAATGACATCAACCGGATTTGAATTCTTTTGGGGGGNCGGTCAGAAGTTCAACAGGAATACCAGTCACCCGAACCATCCAGAGATCCACTGAAGCTCCAGAGCTTCTCATTTTTTACATTTGATATAACACGTCTGATTAATCTTTGCACATTTGAAGACTGAATTCAGATCAGATCATTCGTCTTGAGCATTATCAACTGCCTCTCGTCCTGCTTGTTTAGGGCGCAGTACACCCGGCATGTTACCCTTGTCGTTGTGATACCACAATGGTTGGTACATATTCTGATATTTTAGCAATTAATACTCTGCGTGTTATTGTTGAATTCAATATACTGTGTGCTTCCAGTGTTTGTTTGTACAAGTTCTCAGCCTGAACTGTGGTTATGTATTCCCCAGAATCAATCTGCTCTTGCACATTATCAAAAAACTCAATCTCTGAAATGACCAGGCTTGTGTCTACACATGTCTGACTTGCATATCTTTTAGGATCCTGCACAAATTTACGCCATGCTCCAATCTTGCAAGTGTTGTGGTACACTACATCCCTTGACAGCAGGTCCCCATCTGGTATTGCGTCTGCAAGCCGTACCTTCAAGGAGTCATTATCACTGCTTCCTAAATCTCTTTAATTGCATTTCCACAACTTGCGCTTTGGCACACATGCTTCTTTTCATTATAATTAGAGCTATCTGTTCCCTGACAGAAGAAACACTCCGGATGATTAAATTGTTCAATCCCTGATCTAGTGACTTTTCCAGTATTTGTGCATGTAGTAGGTGAAGATGGACAACCTTTTTTCTTGGCCTGGGGGTCACTTCTTTCTGTCTCTTTCAGTTTTTACAACTTGAAGTTACATCACTGTAGCAGTACGTTCCTGTGCCCATTTTGCATCTTTCTCTGCAAGATCCTGATGTGTCAATCCCCACAGTCTTTTTGCAATATTAATGAAGTCAGGATTACAAAATTCAGCCCTCAAATTAACATTTTGCAAAAATGTTTCATGTGAGGACAACAGTTTGGGAGTTGACAATTTTTCATCTTTGTCTTCCTTCTGACATTTTATGCACATACTGAAGTCTGTTGTTTTGATTTTGGCAACAGGCTCTTCCGTTTCCATGGTAACTGAGACTTCTGTGTACAAGCATGTAATAAAACTTCAAAAATGTGTCAAAGAGCACAGCCAATGGGTCTTCTCCAATGATCTCTACAGCCAAGGTTTTCATTAACATATACAACACATCACAGAGCAACAAAGCAAGGAAACAGTAGGCTAAAATGTACTTCCAATCACTGAATCAGTGTCACGACTGTCGAAGTACATATACATACGCATCATGCATGTGTGTACACCTGCACATATACATGCACAAGAATGCGAAGTATCTAGACTAAGGGTCTACAGGATCTTTGCATATGCCTACTAATTTTTCACAGAACCAGTGACAACTGTTGATATAATTTCACATTTTGAACACGCTATCTTGTCAACAGGATGGATAAAAACACAGTCGGAATGGGTTTTACTTTTTTTCGTGAATGATCAAAATGCAGAGAGCTGGTCTGGTATCATGTATACTGCTGTGTTGTACAAACAAAAAACGAAACGTAAACATTGAGACTCACACTATTGAGCCAAGTTTACGCTATCGGATAAAAATATTTCGAATCAAACAAATCAAACGTTTAGTAACACTTGACTCGTGTCATGTTCGATGACTGGTTTTGTACTCACAGAGGATTTTTGCAAAAATGGGAAAATAAAGATTGTTTCCTTGTGACAAGTGGCAGCGAATTTCTTCACAATAAACACAGCGATGTTCGTAGGCAGTGTTCACCATGCACCGTACAGCCATGTGTTTACATCATGTATCGCATGCCAGCAGTACGCTTGCACTGATCAACTGACATACAATGGTTGCGCGCGCATCCCACTGATGCCATAAGTGGACCATTTGCACTACAGTCCCAATTGCGATTTTTTAAATACAGTCTTAATGGGAAGAATTCCCAATTAGTAGGTAGACTTCAATTGGGTTATTGACAGTGATTTATTGCGTCATCTGCATTGCGGCTTGATAAAAATCATCTTAAAAAACACTTCTCCAGGAGGAGAATAAAATGCCATCAAATGGATTTGAATTCTTTTCGGTTTCAGGAATAAAAAAATGGAAAGAAAAAAAGACAAAAAAAATGGCATCAACCGGAATTCTTTTGGGTT